AGTTTCTTTTGATATGAGGATCTGTTGAATACTCAAAATGGTTAACGTCTGTACTCATAACAATAAGGATTTTGATTTAGTTAATTTCAAAAAAATAGTCTAAAATATAATTACCTTGTCCTCATCCAATAACCATAGGGTTTCTTTATTCATGACATCCACCGAGAAAAACGAAAATTGACTTTTATTAAATTCGCAATACTTTCCTCTTCTTTACGGGCATATGATTATGAATAAGTGAAGCCCTAGTTCGACTTACTCTCTAGCGTTAAAGCAAAGACTTTTCAAAATTCGTCAAAATTCTGTCTGTTAATTCTTTATACACTTCTTCAACACTTGGTAAATTATTGTAGCTTTCTGCACTGAACTTATTTATTCCTCAAGAGTCGCGGGGGGATAGCCCCGTAAATACAATTTTTCACTTTTTTTTTTAAATTTTAAAAAAATTATATTCATATTAGTTCTCAATAATGTTGCTATCATGCGTTTTACAAAGATGATCTACACGAAATTGGAGGATTATTTCTGATTAATAACATCAAAGTTTGCGCTTCTTTATAACATTCTATTTTCGTGTTTGTATATATTCCTTTAAGGTTTCTTCATAATCCGAAACCGACGAAATATTATTTTCTGAACTTTCGTTGTCATAAAAAATTGATGGTGATGAAGGTGGTGTTTCTCCTGGACTTGGACATTCAATATCTGTTATAGACAGATGTTGTATGTAGGGAGTAGCACTGGAAGATTGACGGATCCTTTGATTCTATTTCTACTGTAGGAGATATATAAAGAGCACGTGGTTCATTTTTAGGTCTTCGTAGGAACCAATGTTGATTATACGTTGTGAGAATACCATATTGCAATTGATTGGCAACTAAGTACCAATTTGGCGTAAAATATCGACAACGGAAATTTCACGATTAGAGTTTGCTGGTATCATTTCACATTTTTTTCTCTCCAAATCGTATTCGTATCTCTCATTAAGTGATTCATCACCTAAATATAATTCCAAGAGGGTCTTAACATCAATTGGTAAAAGTAATCTTCCAATTCGCTTAT